AGGGGAGCCAGTGAAGAGAAGATAACAAGGGGGAAACATAATCAAAGCAGCGAGCAGAAGTAATGATGTGAGCGGCTGAATGCTGGACAGAAATTAAAGGGCAAAGATGAGAGAGGGGAAGCCCAGCTAGAAGGAGATTACAATAATCTAATCGGGAGACCACCAAAGTGTGGACCAGAGTCTTGGCAGTGGAGGCCAAAAGAAAGGGACAGATTTTGGCAATGTTATAAAGGAAAAATCTGCAGGCTTTGGCTGTGCCCTGGATATGGGGAATAAAAGACAGAGAGGAGTCAAAAATGAAACCGAGGCTGCGGGCTTCCTGGACCGAATGAATAGAAGTGTTGTCAACAAAAACAGAGAAAGAGGGTTGAGGGGAGGACTTAGGTGGGAAGACAAGAAGCTCCGTCTTGCACATGTTGAGCTTCAATGCCGATGATGCATCCAGAGAGAGACAGCTGAGAGACATGATGAAACTTGCTGTTCAAGCTCTCGAGAGAGATCAGGGGTGGAAAGATACAGTTGGGTGTCATTGGCATACAGATGATAGGAAAAACCAAAAGAACTAATAAGTTTTCCTAAAGACAAGGTGTAAAGAGAGAACAATAGGGGAACTAAAACAGAACCCTGGGGAACTCCAACAGATAGGGGAACGGGGGATGAAGTCTGACTACCCATGACGACTGCAAAAGATCTATCTGACACATAAGATTTAAACCAGTCAAAAACTGAGTTCGAGAACCCAATGTGAGAAAGTATATCAACTAGAAGACAGTGATCCATGGTGTCAAATGCTGCAGATAAATCGAGGAGGATGAGCACAGAATAGAGACCATTTGCCTTGGCCCGTAAAAGATCATTAGAGATCTTTGTGAGGGCTGTCTCAGTGGAGTGCCGTGGGCGGAAACCGGACTGAAAGGGGTCGAGGATGGAGTTGGCTTCTAGAAACTCAAGGCAGTGAGAATAAACAACCCGTTCCAAAACCTTAGAAAGAAAGGGAAGAAGAGAGATTGGACAATAGCTGGACAAAGAAGAGGGGTCGAGAGAAGATTTTTTTTCAAGACAGGGGAAACAAGAGCATGTTTGAAGTCACAGGGAAAAGAGCCTGTAGAAAGAGAGAGGTTAAAGATAGAAAGAAGCGAAGGAAGGAAGGAGGGGGCTATAGAGGTTAGGAGATGGGGGGGAATTGGATCAAGAGAACAAGTTGTAGGTTTGGAAGAGTGCAGCAGGGTAGAGAGTTCATCCAGAGAAACTGGAGGAAACACAGAGAATTGATTAGTTGAAGGTTCCAGAAGATTAATTGGAGAAGACAAGTTAGAAGGAACTATTTCCGATCTGATAGTGGTGAACTTGGTGATAAAGTAATTAGCAAAGTCAGTAGGGGAAAATAATGAAGAAACAGGGAGAAAAGGAGGTTTTAGCAAGGTGTTGAAGCAGGAAAACAAACACTGCGGGAACCTCTCATTGG